GCCTGACTAAGGGCTATATGTGTGTCCAAGATTGAATAAAAGGTTGGCAAGGCCTGGGCACCAGTGAAGTCCTTCCCCTTGAGTTGGACTCTCCGCCTGGCCCCCCATTATTTCCAAATTATTATTTCTTGTCTCATCTCTGTCATTTACGCGCAGCCCTTCTCCATTTTCTAAACCCTAAGCCACACGTGATGTGGTTCACACAGTAGAGAGAGATAGAAACATCAATGGTGACAGAGAATCATTGATCGACTGCCTCCTACATGTCCCCTACTGGGGATCAGACCCACAACCTGCGCATGTGTCCTTGACAAATATCGAACCCAGGACCCTTCAGTCCACAAGCTGACGGCTCTATCCACTGAGCCAAACCAGCTAGGGCCTCATTGTGGTTTTGATTTGCATTTCTCTGATGATGAGGGGCAACTATTTATTTATTTATTTATCCCCACCCAAGGATATTTTTCCATTGATTTTTTTCAGAGAGAGTGGAAGGGAGAGAGAGAGAAACATTGATGTGAGAGAGACATATTGATTGGTTGGCTCCCACACAAGCCAAACCTGGGGCAGGGGATCAAGCCTGCAACCGAGGTACATGCCCTTGATTGGAATCAAACCCAGGACCCTTCAGTCTGCCGGCAGACACTCTCTAGCCACTGAGCCAAACCAGCTAGGGCTAGTGACAACTATTTAAATGAACAAACAGGGGGTTTGGATGATAATATGGAGCAAAATGATCTCTGATGCATTAGGTGTAGAAGTGACATCTGTGCAATCACATTGAAAAGTAATCATAATTAAAACATGAATAGTTAAAGACAAAGAGAGAATCTTAAAGGCAGCAAGGCTGTCAGCTGATTTCTAACAGAAACACTACAGGCCAGAAGGGAATGACATGAAAAATCCATTCCACTGTCTCTGTTTAGAGCAGTGGTTCTCAACCTGTGGGTCGCAACCCCTTTGGGGGTCAAACGACCCTTTCACAGGGGTCGCCTAAGACCATCAGAAAACACATATATGATTACATATTGTTTTTGTGATTAAAAGACACCTGGCATGGGAGTAACCAGGGATGGACCAGACCCTTACATCAGCAGAACGGCTTGCAGGATCAGATAATTGAGCTTATCATCTCTATTATTCGAGCAAGCATGTTTACAGAAGCCAGGAATAGCAGAGTTAATTAACAGAACAAAGGACCATCTATGTTTAGTGAAAAATTTTAAATGGCAATTCTAACAAGATGGGGTGCCTATGGTTCAATAGCAGCAAAATTCATCATAATGCCTCTCCTAGAGAATTTAATGAGGTGTTTAATGATGTCCAGTTGCTGCTTAATAATGATAATCTTCTCAGGGAAGGAGCAGCCCAAGCGTTTCACAATATAACTTGGACCAGTTACTCCAGTAAAAATTGAAGGTGATGAAGATCAGGTATCGATAACAAAACATGGCGACATGAGAAATGGAAAGTTTTTGGATCCAAAATTTGAATCTGCTTCAAATTTGATCACGTAAGAAAGGAAGCGACTGATCCGAGACCATATGAAGCAGAGAATGCAATTGAATCGTGGAGAACTTGAGTAGAAACGGCTCTGCGAGCTTCTGTGAAAGAACATTATCCGCACGGGGTCTGTACTGTATGTGGTAAAACCATTATTGCCTGCACAGAGAGCCATCAGTTCCAAGCAAAACACTTTTGGAATGGTCATTGGAGGTCAGAGTAGAAGTTTACAATCACTCCTTCAACCACTCAAGTGGTTGGCGTCCTGAAATTTCAGGTTCATTATTATGAAGATGGTAATGTTCAACTAGTGAGTCATAAAGATATACACGATTCCCTAACAGTGTCTAATGAGGTGCAAACAGCAAAAGAATTTATAAAGGTTGTAGAAGCTTCAGAAAATGAATACCAGACTGCCATCAGGGGGAACTTTCAGACCATGTCGGACGCTACTTTCGAAGCCTCATGTCGACAGTTGCCAGGTACACGCACTGAGATTGATTGGACAAGGTCCTCAGCTGCAGATTGGCAAAGAGATGCGGAATGCACAAGATGAACATTGCGTGATCGGAGCATTTTAGCGGCTTTGTGTTTTTATTTATTTATTTATTAAAACACATTTTATTGATTTCAAACAGGAAAGGAGTGGGAGAGTGAGAGAGAAACATCAATGATGAGAGAGAATCATTGATAAGCTGCCTCCTGCGTGCCCCCTACTGAGCATCCAGCAACTTGGGCATGTGCCCCTTGACTGGAATCAGACCCGGGACCTTTCAGTCCTCAGGCCGATGCTCTATCCACTGAGCCAAACCAGCTAGGGCTCTTTGTGTTCTTAAAAATATTATTGCAAAATTATTGAACTATCAAGTTACCCAGTCAGGTGGGCTATTGACAGTTAAAGATCACTGTAATTAGTTTGGTTAGAGCATGAAACTTAGCTAATCAGCCATTATTTTTCATTTCTTTTGTTCAAAGAGGATTGAAAATCAGTTTAGCTTAAATGTCTTTCGCTTTCTGTTATGCCTTTCTTACAATGAAGAGATGATTCCTCTAGTTTAATGTTAAAAGTTTATCAAAAATATTTTACTTACCATAAACCTAAAATTATTGTCTTTGGTTTATGAAGTGTGTAACTTCTGGTATTTGCCCAGTTCTTTTTAATGGGGTCAGTCATGGGCTTTCCAGTTTAAGGTGTTCGATGGATTTAGCTGTATATGCTGCTAAGGAAATTGTCTGCCTTTCCCCCTCGCCTCCTCCATATATGTAAGATTGAGATGCGAGGGAAAGCATTTTCTATACCAATTGTGTTTAAAGCTTTCAAGCAAGTTATTTAGCTAGTTTAGTGTTTAACGAACCTTCCTTTAAAGCAATGCCAAGGGCTAATGCTATTTTGAGATTCTAAAATTAAATGAAAAACTTATTTCAGAAATGCATTTAATGGTTTTTTTCTTGTGTTATGCAAATTAGCTTGAGTTAATTTTATCATGAAGCCACAGATCTATATATATAAAAGCCAGAGCGACCGAGCAACCAAGCGACTGAACGACTGAACACCGAACGTCTACTGGTCGCTATGTTGCACATGGACCACCAGGGGGCAGACGCTCAATGCAGGAGCTGCCCCCTGGTGGTCAGTGTGCCTCCGCAGCAGGAGCGCCGCTCAGCGAGCTCACCAAGCAGCAGCAGCCGCAGGCACAGTGGGTCTGGGATGAGCAGAGTGGCACTGGCTCCTCCCCAGCTGCCTGCAGCTTCCCGCACTACTACAGCCCTCAAGGGATGTTGGACTGCTGGTTTCAGCCCGGTCCTGGATTGTGAGAGGGTGCAGGCCAGGCTAAGGGACCTCACTGGTGCACAAATCCATGCACCAGGTCTCTAGTGTATTATAACAAGGCAAACTGTACTCTCTCTATATATCTATATCTATATCTATATCTATATCTATATCTATATCTATATCTATATCTATGCATATATATAGAGCCAGGGGCCATTGCAACCGAACGAATGACTGAACAGTCGACCAAACAGGCTGAGTGGGGCGACCAAGCCAGCAGGGGGGTTAGTGAGGGACGACCAAACGACTGAAGAGCAGGCTGTGTGGGGTGACCAGGCTGGCAAAGGGGGGCAGTGAGGGGCGACCAAGCCAGGAGCGGGGGACAGTTGGGGGCGACCAGGCAGCAGTGGGGGAAGTTGGGTGTGACCAGGCCAGCAGTGGGGGCAGTGAGGGGAGACCAGAATGTCAGGGGGGGCCATTGGGGGTGACCAGGCCAGTGGGAGGGGCAGTTGTGGGCAACCAAGGATGATCAGGCTGGCGGGGGGCCAGTAGGGGCATTCAGGCAGGCAGGCAGGTGAGCAGTTAAGAGCCAGCAGTCCTGGATTGTGTGAAGGATGTCCTACTGCCGGTTTAGGCCCAATCCTCAGGATCTAGCCTAAACCAGCAGTCGGACATCCCTTGAGGGGTCCCAGATTGGAGAGGATGCAGGCTGGGCTGAGGGGATTTCCACCCCCCCCCACCCCCCGTGCACAAATTTCGTGCACCGGGCCTCTAGTGTATATATATAATCCTGAACTCATGACCATGTCTCATTTTTTTTTTCCTGGATTGAAAAGTACTGAAATTCAATGTGACATTAAGATGAAAATTTTTTTATTTATTTGAGTAGAAAATCACTTACTAGTGAGTCATATATTATTTTAAAATATTTTCTCTAAAAATTGTAGTTCTTAACTGGTTGTAAATTAGAAAAGCTGGGAGTATATAAGGTGTGCAGTTACAATCTAAATTTTTTCCATCTTCCTGTGCATCATATGCATGTTTATAATATTTTTAAAAATACAATTACTAATGCTACAAGGATTTTCAAGCCTATGGTGAATGTTGGTATTTACTATAGGGAATGGATTGGATTATGGTTTTATCAATCAAATTCCACTTATTATACTCCAGTGGAATTTTTCCTCACACACTCCTGCAGATGTCTGGGCCTGGAAATGTTATTTTAAATATATCATTTTATTATGCACATAAAATATTTCATTAGCTTGAAAAAAACGGAGGATAGTTATCCACAAGGATGTCAGGGCTTCGTCAATTATAGCCTTTGTGTCGTGATTAGGACGTTGGCATCATTTTAAAATTCCTGGGGAATGAAAATGGAAATGGATAGATTATTTATCGGTGTACCTAAAATTTAAAATCAGAGCCCATTCATTATTCATTAGTAGAAGCTACCAACCATAGGTAATCCCTAGTATGTGTGAACAGAGCTATCGGCACAGGTTTACTCTTGTTTTTTTGCTAATATTTGAACAAAATCATCCTATTTACTATTGGAAAGAAAGACCTTGGGCAACTATGCCTGATGCGTTTCTTCTTTTATAATTAATGGCGTACTCCGCTTCTCCTCTCAGAAAATCTAATATTAATACCTTGATCCTTAAAACACTATCACAAGCAAGATTTAAAAAACATAGAAAAGACAAAATTGAAGTAAACATCAGGTTATTAAAGGGTCTCATCACTAGTCTTATATTTTAAAAGTTTATTGAGTAGTTTATACATCAAAACTAAAATGCATAATTAGAAATGAAAATATCGGCGTTTGAAATTTGGAGAGCATGGCTGGAATTGAATGTTTTAGGTCATATATTTGTGGATGTTTATTGTCCTAGGAAGGTTTCCCCACCACCTCCATATCTTCAAACCTTACAAACAAAAAGATGGAGAAGACTTTAGATCATTATGCCAATGTATACGGCTTCATACAATCACAGAGATGCCATGTTTAAGAGTTTCCCAAGGCAATATATTAAAAGGACATCATTTCTAAACTCAGGACAGAAATGAATGTTTTATGAACTGCTGAGAGAGAGACTTCCCCAGAGGGTATCCCTCTGTACCATCTTTGTTACTGAAAGACGAAGAAGCATGGGGTGCCTAGTGGGGAAGCACAAGTTCATAATCATGCTCCGGGGTGCAGGGCGAACGCCTGGTGACGCACGTCCTGAGGAGGGCATATTCTGTTTCTTCTTTAAACGATTTCACCCTCTTTGTGATGGAGTCAATGTTCTCATAGCCATTGTCATTGGAACTCAAGGAGGGCTTGGGCTGAGCGCGGGGACGAATGACTGTGTAGCACACTTCTTCGGAACCACAGCCGTCCTCATTTTCCTGCCAGGCACAAAGGAGAAAGAAATCAAGGATCCAGCCATCCATCAGATTCGAACTCAGCGCCTCATCCTCCTCTCTTCTTCTCTGATGAAGGCCTTACACTTCAGGTGTCCAAAGCTTCAGGCCCTGATGTCTGAGAGACCTCACTGAGCAAGGCGGGTTGCGCTCTAAGTTACCACTCACTCTGCTTTCCTCTCACCTCACACAGTGAACGAGAAAGGAGGCACACTGCTATCCCTCCTTTGGGCCACACGTGTTGAGATAGAATATTTGCAACAATCAACGCTCAGCAAGTAATTGATCAAGTTACACAACTCTAAATATGTATAAGATAAAATACAATTAATAAAATTTAGATTTTTAAATAAACTTTCAATTGCATAGACTATGAAAGAAAAATTTAAAAATGAAGATACTACATAATAAAGTTAATAAAATGCTTGCGGTGTAGAATTAAAAAGAATAAACTTTTTTATGTGCCTGTTGGTATCCACCATGTTTGTAAATATGAATGTCAATTCATGGACATAAAGATTGGAAACAAATGTGGAAAGTTAAAAAGAATGGATGTTTTATAGTGTCAGATTATATACGTGTATTTACTTGATTAACTTATTTTTGTTATATTAGTTTTGAAAATTAAAATAAGACTTCAGTAGAATTATAACAAGAACTTTCCAATCATCTAAATCAAAGCATTTAAAAAAATTTAAATTTATTTTTGTTTCTGCATTAAAATTCTCAAGAATGTTATTTAAAATTTGAAAGATATTGATCAATGCATTTAGAAATTTCAAGTAAAGGAAGATCTACAGCTAAGCTTATATAAAGGCATCTGGATTTTGACATTTATCAGACAAATGTAATATTTTTATTACCTGATTAGAGGTGGATAAAACTTCATTACCTAGAGGATAAAACATAAAAAGAAACCAACCTAAGAATTTTGGACATCACAGTTTGGGGTTGAGGAGTGGCTAAGAGGGTAGAGCGCAGTGGGAAACTGTAAAGGGGCCCACCTGACACTGAGCTTTTCAAGGCTCTAGGACAAGATCATGGAAGAACATATGTTCTGAAGCAGCATCAATGCTGTTTCTGTGTAAATGATGCACACCGAAGCTGCTGAAGGACAGTGGAATTTGGAAGTGGGTAACACAATTTTGCCCACAAACATGCTATGAAAACAGAGTATGGCAAGTATGAAGAAAGAATGATTATAGTTATAAATTTAAGATATAACTTCCATAAAAGCATCTCAGGAAAATCATATTTTTAAGATGAATAATCATTATAGAGATAGGTACCGAAATAAGAGTAAGTTCTTCAGATTAAATACGAAGGTGGACTACATATATGAATACTGAAGCAATTTATACATATGTTAATCTGATATCCACTGTAATATATTTTTCTTTTTCCTCTTTTTTTTCTTTTCTTCCACTACATATATATTTTTTTAATCCTCACCTGAGGATACTTTTCCATTGATTTTTGGAGAGAGTGTAAGAAAGAGGGAAAGACAGAGAGAAACATCAATGTGAGAGAAGCACATCAATTGGTTGCCTCCTGCATGAGCCCCGACCAGGGCCGGGGAAGAGCCTGCAACCGTGGTATATGCCTTGACTGGAAGTGAACCTGGGACTCTTCTAGACGACCTTCTGGACAACCTTTCAGACGAAGCCAGGGCTGCGAGGAAAGCCTGGGTTTTGGGTCCCAGAGGGAAGCCGGTGCCAGCAGCTGGGGAAAGGAAGGCCCACTCTTGCATGAATTTCATGCATTGGGCCTCTAGTATGTTAATAATTTTTAATAACTAATCATTCTGCACAAATAAAAAGTCATGTTCAATGCAGTGCTTTCAAATATAAAATGCTACGTATATCCATAAAACCACATATCTTCATAAATGCAATAATTTAATTAAACAACTATGTTTTGACTTTAATAGTGTTTTATAATCATAAACTGAGGAAATTATGTAGCCTAGAAATGGAATTCAGTTGTAGCATTAGAGACAGCAATTTGGAGTGTCAGTGTGATTGGCATCAGAAAATCAAGGACCAGTGTCCCACTGTTGGTGCTGAAGATGTTAAAATGTTTAGAAACAAGCATAGTTAGTCTCTGATTAAAAACATGGAATTTGCCATTACGAAGCTAAAGGTCAGTTGAATTAACCTTCTGAGTAGACTTCTTATTTGAAGTTAGGGCATTGATTGGGGGGAAATATGACCCTTAGAATCGGAATGAGAACAACTGAGAGAAGGTCTGAGGACTGCAATGAAGCTGGACGCCAGCCTCCAACAAGTCTCTCTTGTCAGATGAAGTGCTCCCTCTGGTCTTGGATAATGAGGTTCTTTCTTCCTCAGCGGAAAAGGGGAGACTCTGCTTCTTCGTCTTTTCCAGCTCCTAGAGGCTGCGCTCATTCCTCGGGTCCTGCCTCTGTGCTAGCGACCTGAGGCCCGCAATGCAGTTCAGATCCTTCTCGCACCGCACCGCCCTGCCCCGTCTCCTCTGCATCTGTCTTCCTCCTTGGACGGACCTTTGTGTTTACCCGCTGCTCCCCTGGATAATCCAGGGTCCTCCACCACCTTCATACCCTTAATGTCATCACATCCTCAATGTCCCCTTTGTCATATTTTTTTTTAAGTAGATTCAAACGCATATCTTTTGGGGCTTTTATTCTGCCTACCGCACATGTATTCTATTTTATTTAAAAAACATGAAAATATCTAAAGATTTAAGAGTAGAAGAATTTTAAAGTGAATATGTTAATGCAACCTTGCTATCTTTCTGACAATATCCCATAAAACGCCAAGGAAAGCCCTTCTTTCCTCAAGGCCCTGAGATGATACATTAGAGGTCACCATGTTGTTTTCTGAAATGCTAATTTCACTTGCTGTTTGTTTTTTTGTAAACGTGGTAGCGCTGTTGTGATTTGTAAGACCTAAGTACACTACAGTGGCTACTCTGCAATTCAATTCAATCATTGTGATTGACTTCAACAGTTGGTATCAGGAATTGTTAAAAGCAACACCCTCCCCAAAGTGTGAGAATCTGGTCTTAGTTGTATCACCTGGTTTGGTTTAGAGGCAGAAAGGGTGCCATCAGTGTTAATATATGGACACAAATGGTCCACGATACGCGTGGCAAAAGGTTTATTAAAGTTTACCTGTGGTCACTGGGATGGAAGAGGCCAGCTTAAATGACTGCTTAAACAGGCCATTACAAAAAGAATGCGGAATGTAGACACTGACCTGTGATCCAATTGCTACTGGAGCACATAAGCAGAGAATACGATGTATTCATGCCTTTAAAGTTGTGATTCAATAAATAAGGCATAGTTCTAATAAGTAGACATTGACTTTTAAATGTTATTTTCACAACCAGAATCTAAAGTTGTAATATTTTTTAATTTTAAGACGATTTTCCATATGAAGAAACCAAAATTTAAAGAATATAAGTAACTTGCCTCAAAGTTGATATATATGACAAAGAACTTTGGTAAAATCCACAGCGCAGAACTAGCAGACACTGGCGCTTTAAAGATGTGGTGATCTGGCTCTCAGCTTCTCCCAGAACCAAACAGGAAATACAACTCAATTGGGGAAAAATCACCCTGAATTACTAACTAAAGACTATCTGAAGAGGAGACTTATTTATTTTTATTTTTTAAAATATATTTTTATTGATTTCAGAGAGGAAGGGAGAAGAGATAGAAACATCAACGATGAGAGAGAGTCATTGATTGGCTGCCTCCTGTTCGTGCCACACTGGGGATTGAGCCTGTAACCCGGGCATGGGCTCTGACTGGGAATGAACCGTGACCTCCTGGTTCATAGGCTGACGCTCAACCACTGGCTGGGCTGAGGAGAGCTTTAAACAAGGGCGGACGGAAGAAGCCACCTCGAGGATGGTAGGAAGGGTGGAGATGTGCCAGGGCTGGCCCTGCTCCCACAGGCCGTGCTGAGGTTACGGAGGGATCTCAGCAGCAAGAGGTTCCCCTGAGAGGCATGAAGGCTGACCACCAAGCCAGGCTCCCCAGCCCAGAGCGCCAGAGCTGGGAACAGGTGCCCATAGAGCATCCGGTTGTAAAAGGTGGCAGGGTTTCTGAATGCCAAGGAGAGGCGCAGCCCTTTGAGACAAGGGCACCCTCTCAAAGGGCCAACTCACAAAATTTTGTTCGCAGCCACTCACCCTGGGCTCAGGTGACTCACGTCTGTCACCTGAGGAGAATCTGGCAGTGGCTCTGGGAGACAGGGGGGGAACAGCCACCAGGACCCCTGTACTGAGTCATCCTCCAGGACCGCAGCAGCCATCTTTCTGCAGCAGAGAGGTCCTCTCTGCGCAGTACCAGCCTGGGGAAAAGCAGTTAACCCACCCCCTGGAATCCTGCTCACCCACAGAGCAATAGTAACCCTGCTGAGGAGTCAGTGGCACCGGCTGGGACACAGCAGCCTGGGCAGACTCAGGGGGTGTCAGTGACCAGCTGTGGGATTAGGTCATTCCCTCCAATTTCCCGTCAACCTGACTGGTGCTTCCCTCTCATGGGAGACCCGATAGGAACACCCTCCCAACTTCTGAGCTCCAGAGGCCCCACCCACTGACTCCTAGGGGCCCTGCTCGCAAGGTCGGGGGGGGGGGAAAATCCGAGACAGACGCAGAGGTGTGACTCTGGGGCAAGGGCTCACACCCACCATCTTCCCTGAAGCTGAAAACACCTCCCCCTCGTGGGAGACCCGATAGCCCCATCCTCCTGATTCGACCTGAGGACCTTTCAGCGACTAAGCCTAAAAGCCAGCCAGCAGGCGCAGGCACTGAGGTGGGCCCTGGGTGCCTTGGGACACTTGCTGCCAGGCCTCGAAGCCCTGTGCTAGCAAAAGCTGGCCTTAGAGTGCAGCTTGGTCCTCCCCGTACACAGCCGCGCCCAGCAGAGGAAGCCACAAACTGTGGATCCCCTGTAGCTTCACACAGGTGACTGAGAGCCAGGCACAGACAGCAGCCTGACATTGGCTTACAAAAGAGTCCCTCCAAAGAGGCCCAGAGCCAGCCTCATACAGCGTCAGAGCAGGATGCCCCTTGGCCATCTTTATGTCCCCTTTGGAGAAGTAGCTATTTGGGTCCTTTGCCTATTTTCTAACTGGATTGTTTGACTTCCTTTTGTTAAGTTGCTTTGAATCTGTAGATTGCTTTGGGTAGTATGGACATTTTTAATGATGTTGATTCTACCAATCCATTAACACGGTATATTCTTCCAGTTGTTTATATCTTCTTCTATCTCTTTTTTCAACATCCTGTAGCTTTCTGGGTACAAGTCTTTTACACCTTGGTTAAGTTTATTCCTACGTATATTAATTTTTTTGTTGCAATGGTAAATTGGACTGTTTGCTAAGTTTCTCTTTGCCAAATTAATTTATTAAATCTAGGGTTTTCTGGTACCATATCATGTCATCTGCGAATAATGAGAGTTTTACTTCTCCTTTCCAATTTGGATGCCTTTTATTTCTTCTTCTTGTCTGATCACTGTGGCTAGGACATCCAGTAATATGTTGAATAAGACTGGTGAAAACAGCCCTAGTCGTTTTGGCTCAGTGGATAGAGCATCAGCCTGTAGACTAAAGGATTCCAGGTTTGAGTCCAATCAAGGGCACATGCCTGGGTTTTGGGCTCACTCCCTAATAGGGGGCATGCAGGAGGCAGCCGGTCAGTGATTCTCATCATTGATACTTCAATCTCTCCCTCTCCCTCTCCCTTCCTTTTTGAAATCAATTTAAAAACAAAACAAAAAAGGACTGGTGAAAGCAAACATCCTGGCTTGTTCCTGTTCTTAGGGGAAATGGTTTTAGTTTTCGCCCATTGAGTATGATGTTAGCTGTAGGTTTGTCATGTATGGACTTTATTATGTTGAAATAT